GACGAGATCGAACAGGACAACCGAGGAATGAAGTTCAAGCAAACTGAACATTTTGAAAGGGAAGTGCAGTGGATTACCGACTTTGTGGCTTCACACCTGTGGAAACAACAAGGTGGCCAAGACCAAGAGCTGCTAGAAGTTGACCGAAAGGACGGGGAGCAATCACAATACGCTCCTCGACCATGGTCCCTACGCTGGCTTGAAGAGAGCAATATGGGAAGACAAACTCATGGCGTTGGTGGGCGGACCAAACTGCCGCACGAGAAGTGTCACGCGACACAACCCAGTGGATTGGCCGAATGCACCTCGACCTGTTCGACGCTGGGGAAATGGTGAAGAGTTTGGCATTATAAAGATGCCACGGAACAGAACGGAAAAAAGGTCCTTGAGGACGACATCCTGTTGTGGAGGATGGTGTTCTTGGCAATGATTTATGACTCGCTAAAGAAGGCGAGGATGAAAAGAAGGAAAGGATGGGGTTTGGTTTGGAACAACCCGCATCACCAAGAGACTACAACCCGGAAGTGGTCACACTATGGGATACGCCACAGTGGCATGATCTATGTCTGGGGTACAAGTGGGGCGAGAGCGACCCTTGGGAGGAGCCGCAACCAAGCCTACTATAGGTGGCAATGTGTCCTTCTCTCCAGAAGAACATGCTGTTGAAGGAAACAACTCCATTTTGATCAAAGGATCGTGGGAGCTTGCAGGATGGCCACCAGGATGATGTCGATGGAACAAGTGATGGAAAGACCTCCAAAGATCAAGGCTCTTTCATGGGCTGAACACATGGCCTTTGGACGTCCCAAGTAGAAGAGACTGCAAGGTTTGTCAGGAGAACCGCCAACAAGATTCACCACATCATCGGGTTCGGCGCAAATTGGCAGGCGTTTTGTCCGTCGACACTGCAGGGCCTTTGAAGCCGGCTTACGACTTGGGAGGTTTCCAACCCAGATATTTTTGGTGGGAACTTTGACCTGGGCAGTCCCAGTCACAGCTGAACCCATAGAAGAGGACCCTGATGAAGAAGAACTGGAAGGCGATGAAGGAGCATTGAGGCTGGTCATGAAGATGAAGATCAAGAAGAACCCGTCGCTGAAGAACCACTTCACGGCCTCACTGACGCCGAAGAAGCTGAAGGAGGTGATGTCCTCGCAGGCATAGATGACCTTGTGGAAAAAGAAGTGATGAAAGCTGAAGAAGAAGCGGCAAAAGGGAAGTTCAAAGTTGAAGTGTATCGGATGGCACTCCCGATGCATTCCAAGAAGGCCAAAGAAGTGACTAAAACGGTGATGGACATGTTCCTTTGTCTTCGCAAGGACGGCTTCCATCTAAATCACATCCACGCCAACCAAGGTCATCAAGTTTGAAGGGCAGTTCCACCAATCGTGCCACAGAAGAGGCATTTTGCTGACGAAGACAGCAGGCGATGAGCCTCAGTCAAATTGACGAGCAGAAGTTGCTGTGAAAGTTGCAAATAGCATGGTGAGAAAAGTCAAGTGACTTCAATGAAATTTTGAGGTCGAAAAGGACTAGATCCACACCGGGTTTTCCTCCTTTCATGGAAGAAGTGTTGGTGAGGAAGCGGAGGTGGAAATTGGTGACTTTGAACCTACAATGGAGAAGGTGAAGTATCTATGCCCATCCCCAGAAAAGCATGGCCATTGGATTGTCAGGGATGGCGAAACACGTTGACGAGGTGCTGGATTAGAAAGCTTCAAGATCCTCCCACTGAAGGTCATTGGATTGCACTCGAACGTGAGCTACTTGATGGACTCACTTAAGGAGGAGACTAAGAGATAAAACGGCAGTGAAGATGATAGAAGAAGAAGAAGAAGAAGAAGCAGAAGCCAAGACCACTGTCGAAACTTCAGTCACAGGATTGTTGAAGAAGAGCTGGCAAAAAGCTTTGAAGATCCACCTGAGTTGGCTTCCATCACCTTCCAGCTGCTCGCGAGGATCAAAAAGTTCTTGGAAAAGCCCCAAAGTGAAGAGGAAGAGGTGCTCCAAACGAAGATCATCTCACCACCTGCCGAGGTGGCACTTCACTGGGAACTCTGGCAGGAGCCTTCAAAAGATGAAGTGGATTCACTGCTGATCGAAAAACAGGCTCCCAAACCGCCGTCAAACGCCGATGTTCAGGCCTTGGTCTCTGAAGCTCGAAAGAAAGGAAATCGAATTGAATACATCCCCTCGAAGCTGGTTTTTGCGAAGAAGCCTGGAAAGGGAGGAGGAAAATTCAAGGTGAGATGGGTTGTTTGCGGGAATTTTGAGTCCCGACATCCGGCTGAAGAGAACTATTCATCAGGCGCAGACCCCGCAGCCTTCCGGATTATGATTTTTGTTGCTACTCATTTCCAATGGAGCGGATGCGCCTTAGATGTAAAAACTGCCTTTTTGAATGCAGAGATGGTTCAGAATGAAGAAGAACAGCTTCTTTTGGTCCTGCCTCCAAGCTTTTTTGTGGAAAGGAATCTCCTGGGCCGAGACACCTACTATGTTCCCATGAAGGCAGTCTATGGCTTCCGACGACCTCCTGGCCTGTGGGGCGAACATCGCGACCGCATCATGGAAGAGATGAAAGTGAAGGTTCAGGAGGAAGAGGGGTAGGATGAAAAGGAATTGAAACTGATTCCGTTGGAGTCTGAACCGAATCTATGGAAGATTGTTCCAACAGGAAAAGAAGATGAAGAACTCTGTTAGGGCCGGTTATGACCTACGTGGACGACATCTTCATTGCGGCCAAACCAAAGGTCATGGCTGCAGTCAGAGATCAATTCCAAAGGACCTGGAAGACATCTACCCCAGAAGAAATCGGGAAAAGCCTGCGAAGTTCCTGGGAGTTGAGATCTTCAAGGAAAAGACTGAAAAGGGAGAAAGGCGGAATTTGAACCAACAGTCGTATGTGGCTGAACTTCTTGCCACCGACTTAAACACCACCAAGCCTCGCCGAATTCCCATTTCAAGGGATCAAGGAGCGATGGAGAAAGATGATGAGACACCAACCTCAAATGATGCTAAGCTGGCGCAGAAATGTGTGGGGGAACTCTTGCGGTTAGTCACGAGGACACGACCTGACCTCATGTTCTCTGTGGACAGGATGGCGGCTTGCGTGCTGCATGGACCCAAGAAGGTTCAAGAAGTTGGTGCCCAGACCAAAGGTTACCTCCAAGGCACGAAGCAGCAAGGCTTAATTTTCCAGAAGGGCCAAGAAGAAGACATCAGCATCAACATCTACACTGATGCTTCCTATGCCCCGCGCTCCGAAGAGTCTCATGGCTGCTTCGTCATCTTGATCAGCCAATGCCCTGTTTTTGGCGATCAGGTCGCCAGTCAACGATCACCCTGTCAATGGCTGAAGCAGAGCTCAACGAAGTGATCGAAGGCATGATAGCAGGTGAGTCAATAGGAGTTGTGGTGGATGAAGGTCGACAAACAACTCAAAGAAGAGTTTGGACTGATAGCCCAAGTGGCCTGGCGATCCTGACTACAGATGATTCGCCATCTACGAATGAAGTCTTCTTTCGCAAGACAGACACTTCAGAGCGATCTATGGTCCATCTCCCACCTACCAGGAGAAGACACGCTTGCCGACCTGGGAACCAAAGCCTTGTCCTCAACGAGGCTTGAAACGTTAAAGTTTATGGGAAGTCCTCAAATGGACATGGGAGAAAAGAAGGAAGTTGAGAATGAAGAGAAAGATTGTCAAAGTGAAATTGGCCGTGAAGAACATGAAAGACCAACACTGGATCAAGCGGCTGCGATTTTGCGACTGATTGTACTAGCAGCCACAGTGACGGTCGCCAAAGGTCAAGATGAAGATGAAGGAAGTGAAGGATGGAGCTTTGAACTGATGATCGCAGCATACACCATCGTGGTGATGATGATCACAGCCCTCCTTTGTTACATCTTGAAGGGGCGAGTAAGTCAGGAAAGAGACCAATCACGAAGTGATCAAGTGTCCCCTGACCGAAGTGCACCCAAGATGATAGCGCAAAGAGGAGCGAAGCTGCGGAAATTCAAAGAAAAAGGAAGTGGAAGTGAGGAGTGTGGGGATGCCAGAGGTGCAGCGACCTGAAGGACTGCCAACACCGCTGCAGTCGCCGGATCGTCAAGCTTCACACTCCAATCAGTCTCCAGTGTCTCTTAATGAAAGGGGGATCAAAGGGAAAGCACAAGAAAAGAAGCAGAAAGAAAGAAAAGAAGGTCAAAGAGCTGCATCACTTGAGGCAGCATCGCCAAAGGGAAGTGGAAAGGCCAAGGGAAACAGCAGTTCGAGCTCACATGACAGCTCACAAGATCCACTGGTGCTCACCACAAAGTTCGGCAGGGCTTTTCACCTGCATCCTGAGTGTGCATACATCACAAACCCCAACACAAGGGAGGTGAGAGCATCGAAGTGGTGTCGGCGATGCAAGGAGTTCCTTGGGACGAACACCAGCCTGGTTTGTGGACGAATGGATGGGGAGATGAACTCCATTCGAATCTCACTTGTCCAGGGCTTCATAAGTCCCACCTTCGGTTTTCTCCCTGCACTCGCTGCGAGGAAAGGGCAGCTTGAGCTTGAAGTTTTGCGATGGGTGGAAAGACCTGACGGCATTCCAAAGGGGTAGTGAAAGGCCCCAGAGCTGTCGGTGGATCGTTTTTGCACAGTTCGAGTTCGGAGGGCATGTTCGAATCACGTAGCTGCCCTTTGATGCACAAGCACCCAACTGAAAGGAGAAAAGATAGGCCGGCCACTATCAGTGACGCTTAGCGGAGTGCGCTGTTTTTCTGAAGAGTTGCAAGGGCTTGTGTTTGAGAACACTAGAAAGAAAAACGTGAAAACACACAAAGCAACAATGTAAGAACCTAAAGAATCCACACCTTTCTTGTCTTTTTCGGAGAGATATGTTCGAAGAAGTCTCACTCGGAGGTTCTTGGAAACAGCAGGAAGAAGATGATGCACACTTCTTTTCACCCACGATCATCCACGTCCATCCAATGCTCACTTTTTCGTCCTCCCCATCATCGCCATCGCTGTCACCTGGAAATCAACGCTTGGAGCAGGGACATGTGAATTGCTTGCGTATCAAGCATGTCAAACCTTAAGCTTATTTTGTTTCTTATAGTGATGGCCTCTCTCTAATGGCAGCCTCCAACCTAGCTTATTTTGTTAAGTTAGAAGATGAATACGATGAATCACTGTCATCACCGCCTCCATCATCACTGTCGTTGGACAACTTCGCCATGTCGGGCACTACTTCCCCGTAGGAAGTGGTCAGACCTGAGTGTCGGACACCCGAAACAGACAAGCCGCAAGCCCCAAACACACGCGTTGTCAGGCTTCAGAGATTTCAGACGAATCAGTTCTGCGATTCAGAGGCAACCCCTTGGTTTAAGATGCGACTTCCGACTGGCTCTCTCTTGGTCCGGAACTTTCCAACACGGAGATCGGCGTGATGTGTTCCAAGACCTCCGATTGAAACCAAGGTCTCTTGGCCAAGACCTTGTTCGACGGAGAGCGTGACGAATTGGTGGTTCTCTCTTTGTTTCGTGTCGACTTTGTAAATCAATAAACACTAGTAGCGTCCATGCTACTAGTGATGGCCTCCAACCTAGCGATGGCCTCCACCTAGTAGCGTTATCTTCTATTTTTTGGACTGGTCAACTTCTCTCTGTTGGTGTGTTTCCATTTGTTTCTTCCCACCGAGTCACGTTGGGACATGACAAGTCCAGTACGAGATTCAGGTCGCATGGCGCAGCTGTCCTTGCAACGTTGCAGCGCACTGTGCTGCAAAAGAAAGACAAGTCAGGAGACCTTTGTTTCTAATAGCAAACATTGTTACTACTAGCAAGGCATTTGTTACTAGTAGCGATGCACTTGTTACTACTAGCTTCTTGCTACGGTTTCGAAGTTGGAGACCTTTGCTTCGGAGTTTCCGTCCTGCTACTAGCTACCTCTTCCCTCTTCCTACCTCTTCCTCCCTCTTCTCTACGCCCAACTGAGACTGGAACTCTGAGCATTGACCTTGCGCGGGTTCGTTCGACCAAAATGGTCGTCAAAAACTGTGCTATATGTAAAGCGTACATGTTGCATATGTTGCATGATGCTACATGTATGGAAACTAATCATGCAACTAGCCATCACTAGGCATACTGAGACTTCTCTGGACATGTGACACAAGGCCGACCAAAGCCAGTCATGATTGTCCAGAGGCGACGGGTAAGGTCAGCCACAGCGTCTTGTTAGACTACAGTTTGTGCTTTGTGCGGCAAACAAGGGATTGCGCGCTAGTGAAGAGCCATTTGAAGAACGAGCTAGGAAGAGCCAAAGACGGCTGAAGAGATAAGGAGCTCCGTGTCCGATAAGAAAAAGTAACAGATCCAACAAACACTTAAAGCCAAAAATATGCCTGGGAAAAAATACCAAGCAAAGTCTAAATGGCAAACTAATGACAAATGTCAAGAAAAAAACAATTATCTGAAAGAAAAGAAAGCTCTGAAGGAAAGTTGACGAGTTTTGTCTAAAGACAAAAGGATAGAGACAATGTCGTTAAAACACAAAAAAGTATTTCAAACAAATGAAAAACGAGTCTCAACTATGAAAATACATCCAAAGAAAACAAAACAAAATGTATACTGAAAAAATGTTCAAATAACAATTATTTAAAAAAATACAAAGCCAAAGTGGTCTAAAGAAAATAATGCAAAAAAAAAACAACTAAAAGGTTTTTACAAAGAAGAAAGCAAAAGGTCTACAGAAAGTCTTCAAAAATCAAAAGAAAAAAGGATACGTATAAGAAGAAACAGGTGAAAAACCGTCTGCAACAATCAAAAGAAACTCAAAAAAGACAAAACTGAAAAAATGCAAACAGTGTATCTCAAGAATGGAACTCGAAAAAGCAAAGGTCCAAAAAAGCAAATTGCCGACCGGAAGAAAACGGTTGTTTCGACCCAAAATCGAAATGTCAATGAAAAGCTTTCCTGGCTTTCTTTTTTGCTTTCTTTTTTTCCAAAAAATACCGGATGCGCGTCCACTCCACCGCGCTCCGCCGCGCTCCCTTCTAAGTTCGCCACGACAAACCTTCATCGGGTCCTCTCCGTCGACTTGGAAGAAAATCGCTAGGCCACAGCCCACGGCGCAGCCCACCTTTTGGAAAGAGAAAGAATGAAAAGAGCATAGAAAAATAGAAAGAAACTTAATAGCAATGGCCTCCATACATAAATGAAATGATGAAAGTATGTTACTGTTCTAAAAACGAGAGCACGAAAAAGGAATGATGACAAACACAGCAGACGGTGTTCTTGACGATTCAACCAGGTACGAATCGATCAAACCAAAAAGGAGTGAAATTGATAGACGAAGTTACTAGAAGCGATGCACTCGTTCCTAATGGCTTCTTGTTACTACTAGTAAGGCACTTGTTACTAGAAGCGATGCACTTGTTCCTAGTCTTGGGGCCCTTGCGAATTCCACCCGAGAGGGGGTGAAGTGGCCAGGAATTCCTTCACATGTTGAAAAGTTTCCAGAAGTCCATTGCCTCAAAGCCTTTACAAATTTACAAATGTTGCAAGCTGAAAAAGAACTGCAACTGCTCCGTCACCCTCTCTTGCCTGTCTCGGGCACCGGGGCGTAGAGCGAGCACTGCACAAGAGACCAAAATCGAGGATCAAATCGAAAAAACAAATCAGTTAAAGATGTATTTTTAAAAAATGTACTAAAAAACCAAGGAAATAACATGTTGATTAAGTTGTTGAAGTGTTTGTTCCGTTTCTTCCTTTTGTTTCTCCGTTTCTTTCATTCGCATTGAGCAATACATGGCCTCAATGGTGTAAGCATACTTCACCCCGAATTGTTTGTAGACGACATAACCTAAACTGCAAAGTGGATTTCAACCGCATGCTCTGTTTTTTTCCCTTTGCTCTCTCCATTTGCACTTTGTAAGTCCCAAGCGAGCGGTCTTCCGGTGGGACTTCGGACATCTCCAATGGCATTGCCTGGAGACGCCCGTCTGCTCGAAAAAAGGAAGTATAGAACAGAAACACTATGTTTTTGATATTGATATGGGGTATATTTGAACGTGTCATTTCATGTCTGACTTACGCCTTGAAGTCGTTTCGGCGTCTCGCCGTGAACTCTGAATTCAGAAACATGAAGGTAGGTTCAACTTAAGAAAGGCAGCATCTCTTTTCCTCATGACTCGAACGATGCAGGTGCAGGAGAACTGGGTACCTAAACCTCAGTAGCTCACAGGATATGGACAGAAGTGTTATTAAATAACACTGGGATTCAGTCGTGGTATCAAACACACAGACTAGCTTGGTAAGTCATCTTTGATGAACTTGCCATCCAACCCACTGTAATATTAACCATCACCCACTGTCCATACTGGAAGAAACGAGGTTAGGCCCTCAGGGCGGGCTACCTGCTCCAGAGCCGAGGGGAAAACACCTCAGAGAGCTGCCAAGCTTGGTGACGTGTCCAGTAGTCCTCAAGACCGGCGTGGCTGAAGCCGTCTGAAGGAGTGGAGTGGCTATCCACCCATTCGAACCAGACACGCACCCGAAAATGCTGCAAACAGTAGTGTACCAAGTGGACCATGGTATGTACATCAGGTTGGGAACTTGTCAACAACCTCAACAAGCCAAGGTCAGCAAGGGAAGCTCCTTGAAACCACAGCGCCAGGAAGCCACACCAGGTTTTTCCTGGGTAGATCGGCTGAGCGCGGGGCTGCCGTTTATCGATGACCCTTTGGGGAAACGTGCAAGTCACACCAGACGGAAGGTGCGCTGCCCCCATAACCACCCAGCCCAGCCGGAGTGTATTATTTTACAAAGGAGGCATCAGGTTAAATGACCAGAGGCTGACATGGTGCGTCCCGGACTTCAACCGAACATAGCTCGGGGCACGACACAATATATAGCCTTCAAGCCGTAAAAGTGATGTAGTTTTTCACTGACAATGCTGGGGAGGTGTCCTTCTGCCTGGATGTCAGCAAGGGGCCCCCAATGCGACCTGCATAGCCAGCACACATGGAAAACATCCTATTGAGGTCACCCCGGAGTGATAGTGCATCGTCGGGGGACAATGTTGATGTCTCCGGGACCGCCGAGAGCTGACGCAAGATCTTGGTAGCAGTGGTAAATGCTTGTTGGTTAAAACAGATCAAACCCTTACTCCCAAAGTCGCCCACATGGATGGAAGTGCCTAGGTAGTGTCTGTCGCGTCCCAGCGCAAACGACTTGGCCGGCTGGGAAGACGCTCCCAATGACCGGGATACCACTGTAGGCCGACCTGTGAGACCTCATGGTCCTTGACAAAGTCAACTGCTAGCTCATCCTCAAAGTACGCAGCAGCGAAACCAAACAAGCAACACCGTACCACTGGGGTTGCGGGAACCAGTTAAAAGTGAACACAGCACTCTGCAAACCCTACGCCAGTCCATACATGGTGGTGACACGGCACCCTCGGTCCGGGACATAGATGGCGACGTTGGAGTAACAGGGATGCTTGTCACAGACAAGCACCCCTCGGTATGCATCTGGGAGATCATCCGTACCCAGACGCAGATCTAACCAACTAGGAGGTGGCAGACGGTCAAAGACGAACGCCGAGTCAACCATGCCGAGCTAGGGCTGCCACAAAGTCAACATTGACAGTGGAGAGAGTCTCCGACAGGGTGGCATGGTGGGCGTGCCCACTATTGCGCGCGTTGTCAATGGTCCGCTGTTTGCCATCTAGCTGGATATCGAGAGCCGTTCCACTGCACGCCATCCGCCTTCGTCAACGACGTCATCCGTCTCCTTCATGCTTCGCAACGTGCTCATCCAAAGTGATCTGGTAAAAATGCTCACTGTGCAAAGGTGGTCTACTGCGCACCAACCGTTGGACATCGGCAGCTGCGGGGCACCCAGCCACTCAGACAAGCCTGCTTTCTCACGGGGCGGAAGACACCTGAGTGGGTCATAGAGCCCACAATAGGGCAACCCCGAACCAGTGGCTGGGCCAGGGAAAAGTCGGGCCACCCATCAAAAAACCAGGACAGCTGCCAGAGCGGGTTTCTTGCTTTGGTCAATCTGCGAAGCGACCTTGCGTCGGAAGGCTTCTTCCAATAGTATCAAAGCTGTAGCCACTGTGCGCGAGACCTGTCGCAATTTGGTAGTATACTTCAGGAGAAACCTCAGCCACACGGACAACGCCTCAACAACAAAAACCGATGTCCGATGCAGGCCAATCCCTGGGGCAGAAAAGGGGTCGGCAGCTCAGCAGAGGCTGCCTTATGACCCTCCTCCCCCAACCCCCCGGAACCAACAAGTGAACAAGGCCCCTAGCGGACGAGCTCGCATAGCGCTGGCCTGATGAACCCTCATAAATGTCTGTGCGTTGGCATCCCCAAATAGGAACCTCTTGGCTCAAATGTCGCCATGCCGGGTAGGCCTGCAAGGTTGACAGGTCACACGAACGCAGTCGTGGACGAAACATAAACCATGACTCAGCATCCAAATATGGGAACACAACCCCCACGCGCGATACCACCTCCGCTGCTTGAGGCATCCCGCAGGTGACTTGGTGCCCAGACCGAGTGGTACAGCCTGGGCTGAAGAGCCAAATCATCACGACCCGAGAGCTGGGAGGGGAGCTTGGTGGGGAACACACTGGGTAACAAGGTCGCGAGGGCAACAAAACATGGGACATGGAAACCGTGACCAAACACGGAAAACTTGACCTGGGTACGTCGTGCCGGTGACCCTCGTACTGGTACAACCAGATCCAGAGGGATCCCCAAGAGTTGGCACCGTTCCGAAGGGCGCCATGTCCGCCAACTAGACCCCGACCAGAGCAAGGGGGATTCCGCC